TTTCACTGGTGAAAAATCATAAGTCTACGGCAATACGAAACTATGAGACACAATGAAAAATGATCTGATGTAATAATAATACGGTTGTTTGTCATAAGTCACGACAAAAAGGCTGAAGTTAATCTAATAAATCGACTCATCTCATAGCCTTCTCCTCCGCACAGTGGACAGAAAAAGGTATTATCTCCACTTGCACGGTCTTCCTTAACCGAAAGATTCCTGGGAAATGAGGTTTTGGATTTTCGAAAACTACGAATCAGCACAATGAAACGTAGTTGTTCCATGGTAATGCTATTTTAGCTAAATGAGACAGCTATTCTTTTTTTCATATACTTGATATAGTTATTAATTATGTATTATAAAAAGCTGCCATCAACTAATTAATCTTGAAGGGCCTCAAGCAGATTATCGCCAAGAAGTAGCGCTCCTTGCTTTGACTCGCTTAATCCTCGACTGAATAGTTAAGACTATTTATATCTTTACGTTGCTAAAACAATTGGTGACAACATTAAATGTATCCATGTTTACCCGTTACAATGCTATGATGACGTTCTACAATAGTATAGTAGTTGAGAGTTATAATGAATCTCACACATAAAAACACCATTGTTATCAACTCTTGTATAAAACAAAACGTTTTTAAACATAATGTTGTAAAATTCTCTGAGCCGTTAAAAAAATATCTTTAATTGTTTTATGGTTAATATTATGAAGAAAGATCAGTCTTTTAATGAAAATGTATAGAGATAGTGAAACCATGGCTACTTACCTCTGCGTCAACATAGAAAGTAATTCAGCGACATGAATGTCGCTCTATCATATAATGACAATAAAATGGACTATGTTACTTTCGATTGCTAAGGGATGCTCATATTTATACTTGGTTGCCTTCTATGCAGGCCAAGTGGAATATATTTATGCCATGATGTGAAATAAAAAAGTGTCCTTAATATATCATTCACAGTTGCACTTTTATGAATATCTTTAGTCACATTTATGCATCATTCTAGTTGCATTGTCGTACAGAATGCTTTAATGAGTACTATGAGTTTGTGTTATCGTCGAGAATAATAATATTAAAAGCTTATTTATAATGGCATGGTACAAACATATTTAACTTGTGACCAAAGCGAACGAAAAAATTGATATAAAAGCAGAGTGATATTAATATTTAGCAAATACCATTCCACACTGTAATCTAAAAAAGAAAAACAAAACGAGTATATACAACTCATCAATACAGAACAAAAATATTGAAATGTACACATGGAATATAGAGTGAACATATAAGAGAAGAAAATTATGTACAGAAAAAAATAGACATGAATAACAAGTTTTCGTAAAAAACAAAAAAATCGTTGAAATCACTCTGATAATCATGTTTGTGTATCTAAATACATTTTATCGAGTCTTTCGATTTTGGCGAGTTGATATTTACTTGATTTCATAAACAAAAAATTGTAGTCGAATTGCAGCAAAATAATTAGATCAATCAAACGTTTGACACGCGACAATGGTACATAAACGGCGGCAATGTCATCAGCTTGATTTGGCAGTTTCAGATCAACGACGGCTTTATTCAAAATTTAGCCTTGACTTTTATGGGTCGTGATGCAGTAGGCAGGCACTAGTGGCAATGCACAACGTCTTATTCACAAAATTGCTTTTCGATTTGATTTTGATTTCTTCTCATTTGGAAGAATATCAGCAATATCGACGCGAAATTTTTATTCCATTAAGGGTATTGGAAGAAGCTTCGGTTGAAGTTCTTCAAGGTTGCATTCAATGTTTGATCTGGCAATTTCTATCAAGGCATTTAAATATCTAATGAATGTATTGTGTATTGTTCTGAAATGCTTCCGATAAGACATGTTGAAAAAGAATCTGCCAAGTAGACTAACTGTCGAAGGATTCCATTAATGTCATTGATAAGAGCGAGTTCAATAGCAATATTTGGTGTTAAAATAACAGGCATTCCAGGAACAAAAAGTAAGAGTAGAGGTGAATTCTCTCTTACTATCCGATAATTCTAAAAATTTTTTTATGAGTATCGTTATCCTCGATTTTTTTTGTCTTTACAAGTGTCTTGAGCAACACATACCGTTGATGCGTAACCTAGTTGTGCTGCATTGTGAATTGCTGCCTTGTTGTTCCATTGTATTCGTGCTTCGTTTTGGAACACGACAATCGGAGCCTGAAAAAGATGAAGATCAAAATTTGTCTCCAAAAAGAAAAAAGAAAACGTACTTTATTCCACGATGAATCATGTAGAGAAGCTATTAATATTTGTCTAACTATTTGTAGCAACAATAATTAGGGTGTGGGTGTGGGTGTCTTTTCTTGCACTCTTTCATGTCCATCTACACCCACGCCTCAAGATGTCTTGAGGTGTGGATCTAAAGTCCTTCTATCCCAGATATCAGTCTGAATCAAAATTTCAGCGGAATGACAGTCCATTTTAATGCGCTTTTTTTGAATGTTCGAAATATATATTTAAATCTTGAAAAAGCGCGATTTTCATTTCTAGTCAAATGTTCGTCTAGATATACACGCTTCTCTATGAAGGCATTCTCCACAGAAGTAATAGATGTGCCACATTCATTGTGCATTAACTACGATATATCTTTGAGTTTCTCTTAGCAAGATGTAGAACACTTACCATTATAATATTATTTAAGAACAGTTATTGTACCAATTACGAAATTTGAAAGTAATGAACAACATCTATGATATATTCTGATCTCCTTTGTACATGCTGAAATGTACGTTCACAGTTTAATATTCTTTTGTTTTGTACCAGGACTAGAAGTGTCATTTTCCTGTTAGTTTAAAATAAATTTCATTTGTTTTTCTTCATAGTTTAATTCATCGGTAAATATAAATTGATAATCCTATATGGAACACATTATTATTTATTTTCTAATTTAATTATCTGATCTGAATGACCCTAAAGAGGCGGCTACCTTATAACACGTGTATCAGATAGATTACTCAAAAAAAAGCTCATTATTTAGTTGCATGTGGAATATACAAATTAATCACTATGTTAATCGTTTGTTAATTGTTTTCGTTTGAATGCAATATGGTTTCATGCATTATTCCGCATCAGTCGTATACTTATATTGGTAGTCAAACACATGTTGCATTTATATTTAGTATTTTTACATTCTTCTACTAATCATCGACTAGATTTGAGGGTGTGGGTGTGAGTGCGGGCGTGGATGTAGGTGTGGGTATGCGGTGAATGGTTGTGGGTGTGTACATGGGAATGCTCTGTGAATAATGTACCCAGAACGACAGCAGCACTCACATCCTCAAGATGAGTCTTTAGATTAAAAAGTTGGTCTGTTCCTACGTGTTGGGTATAGTTTGTTTAATTTTTTCCTTAACTTTGTATTGAAATAGGTGCTTTAAAGTTTTGTAGAGAATATAACAGAGTATCTATTGGAACAACAATTAAGTCTAAGGGTTCACAAAAAAAGAAGTTATACTCAAAATATAGAGAGGTCCATTATTTACGACTCACCCATTATTTAGTCAATGGCAGTAATGCTTTGTTATCATCATCATTGCTTCTTGACGCCCTAAACATCAGAACAAGGTTAAGATTCTACTCGAGTTTAAATATGATCTGTTGTCAAATTCTAAGCGCAGACAGTTTGAGCTTTTCTTTTTACTAAAGTCACGAAAGACTGAAAGATTCGCATTCAAAAGAGTATGCTATTTTTCTAATATTAATGATACGAACGATTCTATGGGCAAGCGAGTAGTTTGTGATCAAATGGAACCTATTCATTGGAAAGGTAATTCCAAGGTTGAAAACCAAATTACAGCTTAAAAAATTTGAACAAAAACGAAAAAAAAACGATATAAGTGAACCGTTTGGATTGCACTTTGAGATTTGTATTTCAAAGATTAACGCTCTTTTTTGTATAGTCTGGATGCTTGTTTTCGACTGTTGTCATTCATGAAGATGAAATCTTAGTTCGAACAAAAAATTTTTCATTGATGGCAACAAATTTTCTTCTCATATAGTATCTATTTAACGTGCGATCGAGAAAGGATAGATTTGCAACGCTGTTTCGTATAATTAAAAAGATTCAAAAGTATCAGTACTATCGCCATATTGTATATTATTTCCAAGAGAAGTGTCTATCGCAAAGAGCAGAATTTTATTCAATAAATAAAAAATGAGATATATCACCGTGTGACTTGAAATGCCTTGATTTGCATTGGATTGAGCGTGATTGTTGTATCTATCAATGATGCATCCTCTAGAACAAGACACATAGTCTAGATGATTGATCGGAATAAAACTCACTCGGCATGTCGACATGCGACGATTTTTTTGTCGTTTGTTATCCAATCGAGTCGATGCAATTGAGACAAAGGTAAATTAGCAGCGAGTGTCAATTCGGTCAAATCAGTAATTGTACCGAGGCTTCTGAATAACACTTGCAGATCGACTTTGGCCGGTTGTGAATAGATTTCATCTTCGTTTAGTTCAAAGTAGTGTTCAATACGAATAAGGAATTGTTTGGGGCTCAATTGATCGAGTGTTATCAAATGAACGTTGAGCAGCATGCTTTCCGACAGAGCCGACCATGTTTGACGATAGGCACTCGAATAGTTTGCATAGGATGTTTGAGACAAAGAATAGGTAGCAATGGGATGCATGAACAATTGGTGAGCACTGACTCGGTGAATGTGAGCACTGTTCGCAGGTGATTCGAGGATGAGAAAATGCTTACCACGCACGGCAAGACCTTTCCCAAAGGCTGTTTCATTCAATGGTTCGTCAACGCTTTCTGAATCGGCATAGACTGTACGACGATGAAGCATGATTTCGATTGAACCATCATGAATACTTCCACCACCTTCGGATCTATCTATATGCGGAGAATCTTTGCTAGCATCGTTCATTCTCCGTAACTAAGTGTGAAAATTTTCTCCCTACAGACTAGTTTGAGAATTTTCTGTATGTTTTAGAAAAATAGCTTTTAATCATTATCATTATTACCTGTGAGTACAGTAAATTGGCGTGTGGCATCTTGACTCCAAATGCGACTATTTATCGGATAATAATTACCACTGACATTTTCGACAATGGAATAATTCCATGGCGGCCGATAGTCACGTATTCGTTCGGGTACTTGACGTCCATTGGCATCCGTATAATGTTTCGATGCACTTTTAATATCGGTATCAGATCGTACAACAATCTCCTTACCGACATTATCATCAATCGAATTTGGTCCAACTATCCATTCTACTTCAACAGTTGACATTTCACGATAGAGGTTCACTTCTTGACTAGCCCATTCATTGAATACGATCATAGCCGAATGAACTGTTTCCGTTTTTGTACAAGTTCTAATTTTATAATTGAAAATAGGCGAAATTCAATTCTATGAACCATTTACATCGCACAAGTGGTGCTCACAGGCTGTGTCTCCGATGTCAACGGTCGGAAAACGTAGGCACCTGATGCTTGAATTTCTGGCAGAGAATTGTTACCTGGGAAACCTTGAAAATGAATTAAAAAACGAACAACATCAAATCTACTAACGTTTTCCCATCGTCAGTGTACGGAGTATACGTAAAATTCAGTAGACAAATGTAAATTTTTTAAAGAATTCTTTCGTAATTCATCTCACTGATAATCAGCTCGTACAAAAGTTTCAGTTCTTTCTCTTATTCGTTCATTGACTACGAAATCACTTCTGGGAAGTGACATGCAGTGCGCGTCTCGACAGACATTTAGCTAAAGATTGAAGATCTATTTGCTCCAAAAGTCGAATGGACGCTTCTGTAGAGAAACTCTCACCTTGCACGAGTGAAATCTTACTCCGTTTTCGCATTACATGCTGGAACTCACTTACTTGTGTAACAGCAGAAATCTTGCGCAACGAATGGTACTGCAATGCGCTGCTCCAAATTGATGATCTGATGTAAATCGCCTTGATCGTCGAATTCGACTCGGAGATGCTACCAATGGCAACTCAATTCGACTTTATAGCGCAATCTAATCTCTTACTTCGTTCTTCAAAGTGCAAGCTTCGTTTCGGGTCGTTGTCACCTTTTTCTCCTCGATTTTCTCACCGCCTATTATATCAGCCAGTCAAAAAAACGGATGAGTTAAACAGTGATTTTACTTTTAACTTCGAAATAATAAGTGTTAAAACCAAGAGCAGGCAACGAAGTTGTGAATATGTGCTGGTTTTGAGCAGAACTCTTTCGACCAGGAATGTTCTTTGTGGTGTTTGAAATCGGGAGATACTAATACAGAACATAATAGGTATTCTAAAATTATTTCATGTACATTCGTACTTCGGCTGCAACAGTGCTCCCCATTGGATCGCGAATCAAATATTCTTTTGTAACAGGTACACGAGCATGATGGGTGACTGGATGAATAGTGGGGTTCCAAATTGTCAATGTAAACTATGAGGACAACATTCATCTCACATGAACACAACAGTATTCTATTGCGTGCGCTATAGTGAATGAGCCTCTCAGTATGTTTTGAGCACGTAAGGAAAAGTCATGGCCAAAATACTGCAAGAGTCATTCGCTACCGGGCACCTGATATATACCCAATCCTGCCCTTCTATGGGTAGACACTCGCTGATGTTTGAATAGTAATAGAGAAATTGAGGTGCTGCCATTGATAATTTAGTCTCGTTAGGCAATAGTTTAGCATAGGCATTAGTGATTACATCCTAAAAGTGGATTTACGAATGAGATAATATCTTGCTAACATACCGTAGCTATGTCTATCCCTTGGGATAATCGTTGAGCATAATCATCGGCAACATGTTGCTTCTCTGTTCCGCTGATTGCATCATGATGTTGAACAACACCCATCGCTTCACCTGCAGTGCTTACGAGGTCAGATCAAGCAGATAACACATACTTGTCTTACTCAAATAAAAAAATACTGTTGCGCAAATTGATTTGTGAAAGTGCATTGAGTTGACATGTGACTTGAAGAATATTGTTTGCATGTCGTTCATAACGCTTGAGTGAAGATCTTGAAGTAAAGTAACCCGTCCAAAATCCGTGCGGAGTGTCACCAAGGGGAAAGAAATCATCTGTTTTCGATGTCCATTCCCGGCCAACTTTATTCAGTGCATACACATAGCATGAAGGTGTTGAATAGAACACATTGACATCGCTACCATTCGTCTGCTGAACATATATAGATAGAGGAAGTCAATCGACAGTCGAAGAATGAATACCTGATCATTGGCATATTTGATCAATTTATCCAAATTTTTAAACCACATATTAACATTTTCATATTGAAAATCGCTACCCATCGTCATCATGATATGATTAGTAGCAAAACCACATGCCTGGAAATATTCAAGTAATTTTTACATGTTGCATTTTTAGTTTTAGTAAATAGGTAATGCTTCATCTAAGGGCAAGGCCCGGATGAATATATGATTGGTCAGAAGAAAGCGACGACTGTGTACAACATTGAGTCCAATGTTATGAAGAAGGAAAAATGTGACTACCAAATGAAGTTTAATAGAATCATAATGATTCTTCTGACCAGCTCGATAGGATTATTGTCCTCTAGACAGACGCGTAGCCTGGACTTGTCTGAGGTGGGCGCTGAACATTTGAGGAGATGAGAGAGAAGGTGTCATCGAAAGCTTTTCGCTCAAACAAAATCGTTTTGAGGTACCTCTAGGTAATTTTTATGCCGAGAAGAGGGTTAAGATCCCTAAGTACATTCCAATCCCGATTACGTTCATTTTACCGGATCTTAAATTAGACAGCTAGAAGCTCAATGGGCTTTTTGGAATAGTTATGAGACTGTCAGAGACTTATACTCGATTTGAGAAAATTTTAGGAGACTCATACGCGACTCTAAAGGGCTCTTATTAGGCTTCTGGTTATGTTTATGAGATAGCACGGATTCTTACGAGACTACAGAAAGCTCCTTTTAGACTTGCTGAGATTTCTGAGAAGTTTCAGAGGGCTTTCATAAACAGAGACGTAGCCAAAGACTTTCAAAGCAAGAGGCTCGGATCTCCTAGTTCTTCTCTCTAACTACGTTCCTGAGCACTGGACAAGCGCCCAAAATCTCAATTTCTGGATCTAACAAAATTCCAGCGACTTTGAGAAAACTTGATAATACCCGAATATTCTATAGACCTCTCTAGAAAAGAAACATCCTCAGTGTCTTACAAAAAATCGAAATTAGATTTGACATCTATCGTGAAATAAGCAGAAATAATAGAGTAAGAGGAAACATCAGAGATCAATAGAGATAGTTTCTTTTCATCTTCAAGTCCTAAGAAATTGTGACTCCCATTTATCAGTTGCGACTAGACAAGCTGGCCAAGAAGGTGTAGGATTTTAATAAAATTGAAGGAAATGTTTGAGAAAAGTAATGAATATAAAAGGCTAAACTATTGTTCAATCAAGAAAGTCTGCATGACAGAAGCAAGACATGAAATTTATTTTCGATTCTCTATTATCGTTTTCCCGTGAGACCAAGAGTGATGCAAAAATGCAAATTGTAGGTACACTATTGGTCTTTCAGAAAATTCGATTTCGAGAAATCTATCATGTTGAAACGAACAAAAAGTATCGGACACAAGAAAATTATCTCGTTTATTTTATTACACGGTTGTGGGGAACTGTCGAGGATCACATTTACGGGTCCACAGGTTCGTGCTCCCTTTTCCAGCCCGTTCCGGTTAAAACTGGAATCACTGAATCCCGAACCATATTCGAACATTAGAAATCGGAATGCGATCGCCTAGGCTTTCCGATGAGATCAATTTTTGTCAGAATTATCGACTCCGTTCAAGCTAGAAAAGCTCGGTATTTTGCTCGAACAAGGAAAACCATGTCCAACAATAAATTATTCAATTTCATCGACGACAATTGCTCAGTGGTTCACTTCAAAACGATGTCGAAAAGTTAACCTGGTAATGTGCAGCATCGATGAATGCTTGAATTCGTTCTGGGACATTGTATTCATACAGGCGTGCATCATCCTACAACAAACATGTATACAGAGACAATAGAGAGCAAATCGAAATCTAAAGTTGAAACAGGCGTTGTCTGTAACACTCGAGGAGCAATCAAGAAAAATTCGACTGACCCTAATAGGTTGAGCACTACAAAATTGATTGAAACAGAAAGAGTCTGGTGAGTCGTAAAAATTCGACAAAACACTCGTAGAAAGCCAACTCTGACGGTCTGCAATCATACATATGTGCGTAGGACTTCTACAACATTATCATCAAGACTCACACAAATTGGCACTACCCTTCCAAACCATTTCCGTTGTTTTTGTCTTATTACGTTGTTCGTCATCTTGATTGTCGAGTCGTGCAAAAAATAGACCGTCGAAGCCCATCTGTAACATTCAGAAATGCAGCTTTTACACTTTTTCGGAACCGTTAGACCTGTGCAAAGAGCGAGGCAACTTCGCGTGAATGACCGAATGGATCAATTTGCCAGCCGATCTTCGGCCGGGCGCATTCGCCAAATTGATCACGCAAAAATTCAGCTCCTAAACTGTGCTGATCGATGATCGAATTGTAGTGTGTTGTCGCCTTGCCATTTATACACCAACCGCCCGAAATGAACTCAAGACGACCTAATTCGAATAGATTTAAAAATAATCTTGACAATCAAACCAACGTGTACATTTTCAAATAGAAGATTCACAAAGAAAAATGTCTGTACTAACCATCATTCACGAGCTCTTTGACGGTGTTACGCATATCGTTTGATTATTCATTCCACCAACGCCAGAAGAAGGCTATTTCAACATAGATGAAACGTCGTTCGGGGTTTTGTATTAGTGCTGGAATGATCGAATCGAGAATGCGTTGAACGCACGCATGCTGAATGTCGTTGCGAGCTAGATCAAGAATACTCATGAAAAAATGCTTGTGTTAGCGAAGTACTGGATCAAAAACTTCAATCGTATCTTTTTTTAGATAAAATATTACAGCAAAAAAACGAAGGACAACAGGACTATTTTTCGGGTTCAAGCTATTGTTGAGATACAACTGCTTGGAAAGAACAAGTTCGATATAGCCTAAGCAGGATTTCTAGAAAATGTTTTTCAAAATCTATATTTGAAACGCATCTAATCCTATCAAGTCGACTGCATGGAGTACGAACACCGCTAAATCTGACAACTCTCAAAAGTGCTATATGAAGCGAAAAGATGTCTATTGTCGAAGCTGGGCTTCGGTTCAAAAACTGGTTCTTGAGCCTCTTTCAACGATGAAGAGCTTCCCTCAACAAGTGATCGTGCCATACAAGTGAAAAGAAGCTATATCCGAAAATCTTGTAATAATAGCTTGTGAAATAGGAAGAGTACAGCTGAAAAAAAAAGATTTTTGTGACTATAACGAGCTTCGATCTTGATGTTTGGGATGATATTGTTCCATTAATCTCGGAAAAAATCCAGAAAAAAAAGAAAATCTCGAAGGAATAAATGTCGACCGTTCTTTGACGATTACTTTGATGTGGTAGATAGACCACAGAGAAACTGTATTGTGAGCAAAATAGATAGACACAAGAAAAGCAGGAAAGT